GGAAATAACCAGTGGGGTATCACAAGGTTCTGTCCTAGGCCAAGTACTCTTCAACATCTTCATAAACGACTAGATGAGGGAATAGAAAGGGAATTTATCATATTTGCAGATGACACTTAGCTGGCAGGAATAGACAACATCCTAGATAATAGGCTCAATATCCAGAGGGATGTTGACAAACTTGAACACTGGGCCCTATCTAACAAAATGAAATTCAATGTAGAAAAAAGTAAAGTCTTACACTTAGGCAAGAAAAACCAAAAGTACACATATAGATTGGGTGAAACCAGGGTTAATAGCAGCAACTGTGAGAGGGATCTTGGAGTCTCAGAGGACAATCAATTAAATATGAGCCAACAGTGCAACCAAAAAAGCCAATGCAATCCTAATTTTGCATTAACAGAGGGATTCAATCAAGATCACGCGAGATACTAATACCACTCTATAAAGCTTTAGTAAGACCACACCTAGAATACTGCAACCAGTTTTGGTCTCTACACTATAAAAAAGATGTTGAGACTCTAGACAAAGTGCAGAGAAGAGCAACAAAGATGATTAGGGGACTGGAGGCTAAAACATACGAAGAACGATTACAGGAATTGGGCATGACTAGTCTAGTGAAGAGGAGGACCAGGGGAAACATGATAGCGGTGTTCCAATATTTGAGGGGCTGTCACAGAGAGGAGGAGGTCATCCCGTTTTCCAAAGAACCTGAAGGCCAGCCAAAGAATAATGGATGTAAACAGATCAAGGAGAGATTCAACCTGGAAATAAGGAGAAATTTCCTGACAGTGAGAATAATCAACCAATGGAACAGATTACCTTCAGATGTTGGTGTTTCATCACTGGAGGCTTTCAAGAAGAGACTGGATTGCCATCTGTCAGAAATGGTGTAGGGACTCCTGCTTGGGCAGGGGGTTGGACTAGATGATCTACAAGGTCCCTTCCAACTCTGCTATTCTATTCTATTCTATTCTATTCTATTCTATTCTATTCTATTCTATTCTATGCTGTCAGTAAATTTCTTAAGCTGCTAATAGGAAACCCTTCCTAGCCAAGGAGGCTCAAGACTGTGTAAATGCAAGCCAAGGCCTCAGCATTCACAAGTTACCTGATATTCTTCTGAGGAATAATAGTAAGATTTATATGATGTGAAGAGAAATAATAGTAATAATTCCATTCTATACTGGCTTAAGTTTGGAGTTCTCCTCCATAAGCATCATAAACTTTTCATCGGCTTGCTTTCTACTCTTTTCAGCAGGGTGTTCACAAGGCTATGCTCAACAGATGATTCTTCCTGCACTGTACTGTTGTCAGTTTTCTCTGTCATAGTCCTGCCTTGGATAGCATCCAGACATGTCATCTCTGTAGGATCCTTCAGCTTGCCTTATTTTGGAAATGCCTCCAGCGTGGTTATTTCCCCACCCCCAGCAAATTGGTTTGGGTAGGCTGACACACCTGGCTGCTTGCCACCATGCCTAGATTTGGTACTTTGACTGCAGCAGCAGGGAAGCCAAGTCTTCTGTGGGTAGCTCAGACAGGTCCATAGGATCTGACTGGCCCCTTTCCTTTCATTTATTTTCCTCCTACAGCTTTTAGCAGAGGGGGATCAACTTTTCTGTGTAAATAGCTATTTTCAAATGAACCTAAATCAAAGTAGTTTTTACTCTCCTCTTGGGAAAATATATGCTGTGCATTTTAAAGAGCTAACAGAAATGCTTTTATTTGATTGTGGCTTAGCACTTTTCATCTAAAGATTAAGAAGCTCTTCTCAAACTGTAATTATATTTTTTATTTACAATTTCCTGTGAAGCTGGCTTTTTCCACGATTTTTGCAGAGGGTGACACATTTGCTGTTCTGTCTCAGTCAACAAAATGCACGGGGGCCATCCCTAATATCCATTCTTTGAGTTTTTCTTCCAAAGATTTACATGCTTCAAAGAAGGAATGTAATTTTTCGGTGTCAGGGGAGCTTGAGCATATGAATCAAGTTGGAAATGTATCAATAAAATGCCTACAGTGATGAGCCAAATACTGTTTTCTTTAAATTATGGTTACACAGCAGGCTAGTTTCTCTGGAAGAAGAGTGTTCTTTAGCGATGCTTTTTGAACAGTTTTGAGCATTTTTAAGCTTGTATTTTATTTATATTGCTTTTAATTTTTATTTGCTACTTTCATTTTCTTTTGCATTTTTACTATGATTACAATCTTGATTATTCTGCTTAGATAGAAAGATATGGAAACATCAAAGACATAGCTAGATTTGATAAATTAACTGTCTTTTCTCCCCAGCACTGAATGAAGACTTTTATTATGTTTTCCTTCTTTTAAATTAAGGGACAACCTCAATGCTTATGGTCAAATTCATAAAATTATCATGAAGTTTTGGTTGTAGCATGTTTTGTTGCAATGTCTCATATATCAAACAAGCAGAAAAGTCTTATAATTAATTTGTAATACATTCTCTAGATGTAAAAAACAACAAGCCAATTTGGAATATTAAATGCCACTTGGGAAGACTGATGCACTTGTGCATATTTTATAAAGAAAAAGAAGATAAATTCATCAGATGAATTATTCAAAATAATTTATTTGTTCAGCTCTATGGAATTGATTACATAGGTACAAATTTGCTAGCATGAAAGATGTAGAAAATAGAAGCTACTTTTCATTATAATAAGAAAAATGCTTCTCATTTGTAGGGTTTTATTTCTTCTCAGAAATGCATTATGTTATCCTGGACTCAAATTACCAATCCAGGAAGAATTATTTAAATTAATATATGTTGGTCTAATTAGAACTAAACATGCACTTTTCTGAATTATGTAAAATGTAAACTTTCAGGGAATACATCTCAAACTAGAGATAAACAGAAATTGTATCTCTAAAAATTGTAGCCATAATCCAAGTATTAGAGACAGGTATTGCATAGGTTTGCATAATTAAGATTGGTTGGCATACATCATAGGAGTTGAAATCCATTTTAAGGGCATTGATATATTTTGAGTACAAATAATCCTAGTTTAAAAAACAATATTGGGAATATAATTCTGCAAAGATCATAACCACTAATGTGAAGGTTTTTTTGAGAACTTTCTTGTGATATTGATTTGTTTTGCTGAAAATCCAGAACCCTATGGAAATTATTTAAGGATTTGAAGTTTATAATCCTTCTAGAGAGATGTTTGTGAAAGAAGCTATTGAAGTTAATATTATTGGAACTTGTCTTGAACAAAATTTATGAACAATTTACTTTGCTGATAATGGCTCTTTTAACATTACTCAAGAGTGCAGTGAGCAATGCTGATTCAGTATAAAGCAGCTTCATTTGATTATATTTATTCTTATGTATTTCCTTCCACGGGGAATCTCAGGAATCATAAATATAATAATAGATTAAAAAACAAGAACTACTTACATGTTATCTTTTAAGCAGCTTTGGAGGAAGGCTTTGCTGATGTTTTGAAGAACCACACTGTACTTGAAAGAAAATAAACAATGGGTCCCTGTGGAACACCCAATACATGGCTCCTCAGCTTGTCAAATGCTATATATCGGTTCCAATACTGGATGCTGTAGCCCCCTAAATACCAATTTATAGGAAACACAAATGAGAACAGTGTTATTCTGCTGCTTTCCTGCTTGTGGTTTTTCTTTAGACATCAGATTTCCATTACAGAAAAGGAATGCTGAATTAGATAAGGCTTTAGTCCAATTTAGCAAGGGGTTGTTAATACAGTACCTGAACTAATGGTTTGACATCCCACAGTATAACACATGGTTACTGGTTATTAAAACACAAGGAAAAACTTTACAATTACAGACTTCACAAAAATTGAAGTTTAGCTCTACAATTTGGTGAAAAACCAGAACACTATGGAAAATAAGTCACAATGAGAGAATCTTGCTATGTTAAGGCCAATGGGAAGCATTTTATTGGTAATGAAACCAACTGCAATAGGGATCTTTATATTCTATATCTCTCTGATTTTGACATTTTCATTGAACAGTAAAGAAAATATTATACTCTAATAGTTTTAGTCTTCTGAGCTATATGACTCAATGTCAGAAGTCTATCTTTAAATCCACAGACTTCTGAAATGTCTAATTTACCTGTTCCAGAAGGTTTCAGCTTCCACAATTCTGTAATAAAGCCTGAATGGAAAGAAAGATTTATCTGCTTCAGATGGGTGATAAAGCTCCAAAAAGAAGAAAAAACTGTACAAGCTCTTTTCTCTGTGCTGCAGGGTATGAAACAAATAACATTTATAAACAGTTTGCTCTTGAAGAAGAGAGCCAAAATAATAAGTATGAGACAGCTTTAACTAATCTGGATGCTTATTTTCTTCTAAAAAGGAATGTGTACAAGAAGGCCAGAGAATATAACTTCATTAAAGGCTTTTAGGAGCTTGCAAAGCATTGTGATTTTGAGGAGGAAAAGTAAGAGCATTTTAAAAAGAGACTTATGTTGCTGGGGATTGTAGATGAAGTTCTGTGTAAAAGGATGCAACTCTTAGAAAACGGAACTTTCACAAAGCCACTGAAACAGTATAAAAGCCAGGGCAAACAAAACACAGGCCAGAAAGCAGAAGAAACTTGAATTCATCTTGGAAGAAGTAAACCTTTCCACACAAGGTTCTAATAGTGGAAAAAGAATCAGCTATTTTGGTAAATATCATTTCTACATCTAAGAAAGCTGAATACAAGACACCTCAAACAATGTAACCCAGTCATTTCAAAACCACACAGCTGAAAAAGGCACCCACATCAGTCTGCCAGTACAATATGTAGGAAGATCCTCAACATTAGAGCGATTACTCCAGTGCAAGAAGTGTTTTAAAAGAAACTATGTTGCTACTGCATAAATTGTACAATTACTTAACATGCAGATGAAAGATCAGCTTTTTTGGCCACTTCTGGGGTGGAAACATGGTGAACTAGCCCATCTCCGTATACTAGGATCAATGAAGAGGCAAAGACTAGCAAGCCATATGGTGTGCTTGAATTAATGGCACTTTTCCAGACAAGGAGAAAGCTGTGAGATTGGCTGCTTAAGCTCCAAAGGACAGCTCCTTGTAAGGAAACTTGTAGGATCCAAGAGCTGCAGGAGAAAACAGAATACTCATAGTCTCTCTGGAAGCCTGTTTAAAGCACGCTGGATTTACCCAATCTACTAAAGCACTTTTTGATGAAGAAAACTTAAAATATAAACAGGCTTTTCAAAGCAGCTGAGTACTTAAAGCTAACTGGGTGAGTGTACCTTCAATCAACGGTCCCTTAAAACCTGGATGTGTTCACAGGCCTGGGTGGTACATGGGAATGAAAATTTGCAGTGGCACCATTGTTTATAATCTAATGCTCTCAGCTTTTGTATGATAATAATATTTTTTGTAGTTTTTAAATTTTTAAAAAATTGATTTTTATGGTTTGTTTATACAATGCCCTGAGTCACATCATATTAGATGGGTAGCCATATAAATACGATAAATAAATAAAGATTAACTAGAGAGTAAGGAAATAATTATAAAGACCTTAAACAAATAAAAGCAAAAAGCTTGTTGGGAGTTTGAAATGCAAAATTTAAAAATGGACTAAGGAGATAGTTACATTTCAAGTATTGTCTTATTTGAAGTAATATTGTATTAATTGAATAATTAATACATATCTCTTTGGGAAAGAGGATTGTTTAAACTTGCTAAAGATGATGATTGACTGATGGTTAGACAAAGAGATAAGTGGAGAAAGAAGAGAAGAGAAAGTTGTGAAAGATCATATGACTACAGAAATAGTGTACAAAGGGACTAAAGAGTTACGGACATAGAAAAAAAGGCTCCTTATTGGATACAAAGTAGAAAAAAGAAAAATGGCTTCTACTAGAAAGGCAACAAAAGTTATAGAACAGAGGAGAGGATAATGTTTAGAGGCACAACAAATAGAAATGGGATTTCACTAAAGTGTTTATGGACAATGTTTGAAGAATTAGGGAAGAATGTTACAATGTCAGTACCTGCATCAGTGTTTGCATCAGTCAAACTTAGTTACCCTGAAACAAAATGGAGGAAATATGTACAAATATGGAAGAAAAGATGAGTAAAATCCCCCAGAAAGAATCTGTAACACAGATGGGTGGAGAGGTTACACAAATGAAAGACAAAATAAAACTTTTGGAAAATAAGACAGAAATAATAAATTAAGAGATGGAAAAGGATGTAGACAATGTGAGATTATGGGAAAGAATTTTGTTTAAGACTGAGAACAGTTCCAAAGGAAGCTGGTGATATTAGAGAGAGATTATTAGGGAATCCCTAATAAAACTTTGAAAAAGGATAAGAAGTTATGGAGGAAGAAGTTGACAAAGTACACAGGATGAATATATGATATGCAAAATGAAAAAAAGTACCACACATATACATGCACGTTTTGTCAGGAACAAGACAAGATACCAGGTAGTACAGCTACATTTTAACACTAAATTAGGATTAAATAACACAGAAATCGTTATTCTCAAAGAAATATCTATTAGAATACTGTGCAAGAGAAAAGGATATTGGTTTTTGACAAACTTAAACAGAAAACGATATCATTTCATAGGGACAAATGGGGAAAAGTAATTCTAACTTCCAATCAACAGATTGGATCCCAACTTAATTCAGCCCAAAATGCAATTTTTTAAATTAAAGATTCAAAGAAGAGATGGAGAAAATACAACTGGATCAATAAGAAGAAGCCATATAACAAATAAAGTAAGAAGAGGAAGAGATGAATGATCATCATGGCAGATGTGTAGGTATTCAAATCAATTGGAATTAAACTAAAATAATGATATTGTGATGCCATGTTTTAAGGTATTTATTGAAAAACAGAATTGTCCAATGAACATTGGATTGTCCTTTTTTTGTTTTTTTGAAAACTGAATGGAGTGGTTTGCCCTCAAAAAGACAGAACCTTTCTGAAAGGAATTAAATCAATAAAAGGTAAATCACTAAAAATATTTTTTAAAATGATAGGCAACTTTCAGCTTATAGATATAGAATAGACATTAAAAATCTATAAAAATGGTGATTCCAAAATGTATACATAGTTTTCTGAAAGTCACAAATATTTCTCAAGAATAAGAAATATTCTTATGAATTTATTCATAAGAATATGTTAAATTTCTAAGAAACTTATGTCAGCTACTAATAAAATGAAGAAATTACCCAATCTTTTTAGTTCATAACCTAGTAAGTTTAATAAATAAGGGGAAAGGTAGAACTTAGAGATGGAGGCTGATTGAAACTTTGCTTCAGAAAATAATAAATAATTGAGCACTGTAAAAAAAAGCTGAAAGAACTATGGTGATTAATTTAAATAAAGGCATATATATAAGTATAGTATGAGATGCGAATATAGGTATTACTTGACTTACAACTACAACTGAGCCCAACATTTTCATTGTTAAGCAAGGCACTTAAATGAGTTTTGCCCCATTGTATGACTTTTTTTGTCACAGTTGTTATGTGAATCACTGCAGTTGTTAAGCGAATCATGTCATCATTAAGCAAATCTGGCTTCCCCTGTTTTTTGCTTGTCAGAAGCCGGCTGAGAAGATTACAAATGATGATCACAACCTTGGGACAATGCAACTCTCATAAATGCAAGTTAGTTGCCAAGCATCCAAATTTTGATCACGTGACTATGGGGATGCTGCAGTGGTCATGGGTCAATTGTTTCAGTTCTGCTGTAACTTCTAATGGTCACTAAATGAATGGTTGTAAGTTGAAGACTACCTATAAAACCTTTATAAGATGACAATTTTGATAACAAAACAGTACAAAGTGAACTGTTTTGACAGTGAAAAGACAAAGAGAAGATGCAAAAAAAATTTAATGGAGATAAAAAATGAAACAGGAGGAATTAAAGAGGTCTCCAGGAAGGGAAAATATTTCATATTATATTAAACTGCTACAATATTAGTTTTCTATGTTAACAATTAAAAATGGAAATAAAAATTAATTTTGCAAAGCAGGAGAATTTTGAGTTAGCTAATAAATCAGGCAAATAGATAAACTGAGAAAACAAAGAAAATGATACTAAAACTACAAAATGGGAATGCTACAGTAACAGATAATGCAAACGTGCAAAGAATATTTCATCAGTATTATACAAGACTTTATAAAAGAGAAGAAATCACCCTCACAAAAGTAGATAAATATTTAAAGAAACAAAATTTGCCAAAAATAAACAAAAGCAGAAAATGAACAAACCTATAACAATAAGGGAAGTCCATGAGTCTATAAAAAGACTAAAGTAGGGATAGCTTTTAGCCCAGGTGGGCTGTCATTTTTCTATTATAAATATTTTAAAAATGAATTGTTACAATGTCTTCAAAAAATAATGAATACCATTCTGTGTAGTGGAAGGATACCAGAAAGTTGGAGAGGTGCAAATATAGCATTGATTCTTTAAGACCAACATCCAACTTTATTAAAACGAAATATTGACCAATATCCTATTGAACAATGATTATAAAACCCAAATGTGCTTTTTCAACTGGACTTTGTTTTGCTTGAAGATGTTTCACTTCTCATCCAAGAAGCTTCTACAGTTCTGACTGAATGGTAGAGAACGGAAGGATTTATATTCCTTGTTGTTAGCACTGGTTGTTAGCACTCTCTCTGAGAGTCACTGAGGCCACTTTGAGGTTTACCTGTTTATAGTGCAAATGGGCATGGAACCTTCTTGGAACTGCTGAAAGGACTGTGTTGTAACCAGGAGATAGGTGGCGTTGTATCGCTCATCCTCTGTTGAAAGAGGACTGTTTTGTCTTAATGTAGACGGCCTTTTTTAGGTCATCATCTTCAAGGAAAACAAAGAAAGTCCAATTGCTTTTTGAAAAAGTACCTTTGGGACAACCATGATCTGGATGACTGAGAATCTCCATAGACAATGATTACAAGACATTAATTATGATTTTAGCTGCAAGGATGAAACATGCCTTGTTAAGATTTTATACATAAAGATCAATGTGGCTTTTTGCCTAAAAGACAGTTAAGACAACATTAGAAATATTCTTAATATATTAAAATATTTCAAACATCGTAAGAAAAAACAAGCTGCACTGATAGTTCCTGATATGGAGAAAGCATTTCATAATTTGAACTGGACAAATTTCCTGTTTAGAATTTTGGAAAATATGGAATTTGGAGAAAAAAAATATTAAATGGGTGAAATCAAAATATACTTTAAAAAGTAGCAAAATAATAGTTAAGGGTAAATTGTTAGAACTCTGTGAAATACAGAAAGGGACATGACAAGGATGTCCTCTTTCGCCATTGTTGATCATTCTGGCTCTTGAACTTTTGAATAGATATATGAGGCAAGTTGAGAAAATAGCTGGGGTGAAGGTAAAAAGAGAATTTTTTAAATTAAAGGCATTTATAACTGATTTGGTTTTAATTTTGGAAAGTATTATGGAAGGAACAGATATATTAATGGAAAATGAAACTAACAGAAAGTAGATGGTATAGTATGCATATACCTGTTTTAATTTTGGCCTTTTGCTTTCTGGTATAGAGAAGTCTTTCCTGTGTAATGGCTGATTTCTTTGAGCTTTGATGGCATTCATCATCAGTCACATAAGCCTGACATCCCTGATCTCTTTCCACCCCTGTAACAGCCATGAGAACATAGACTAACAGAATAACAGAGTTGGCAGGAACCTTGGAGGCCTTCTTGTTCAAGGGTCCCCAATCCTTAGACTGTGGCCCACTACCGGGGTAATTCTCCATTTGGAACTGGGCTGTGGAAATGGTGGGGAAGTGCATGCATGCATCCCCACCTGTGGGAGCAGCAGAAAAGTGCGGACACTCCATTTGTGTAAGTGGCAGGTGTGCTTGCCCATCACTTATGCAAATGGAGCTGCGCACACATGGGCACTTGCCCACTACTCACACAGAACCATTCCCCTTCTTCCCGCTGGTCCAGAAAGCCAGAAAGGTTCTAATCCAACCCTCTTCTCAAATAGGAAATCCTATACCATTTCAGACAAATGGTTGTCCAATCTCTTCTTAAAAACCTCCACAATTTCTGGAGGCAGGTCCTTCCACCAATTAACTGTTCTAATTGTCAGGAAATTTCTCCTTAATTCTAGGTTGGTTATCTCCTTGATTAGTTTCCATCCATTACTTCTTGCCTACCTTCAGGTGCTTTGGAGAATAGGTTGACCTTCTCTTCTTTGTGGCAACCCCTGAGATATTGGAACACTGCTAGTATGTCACCTCAGTTCTTCTTTTCATTAAACTAGACATACCGAATTCCAGTAACTGTTCTTTATTTGTTTTAGCCTTCCAGTCCCCTAATCATCTTTGTTGATCTTTTCTTTCTCTTTCTAGAGTTTCATCATCTTTTTTATATCATGGTGACAAAAACTGGATGCAATATTCCAAGTGTGGTCTTAATCAAGGAATCATAGTGGTATTAATTACTTCACATGATCTTGATTTTATCCCTCTGTTAATGCAACCTAGGACTGTGTTGGCTTTTTTGGCAGCTGCAGCATACTGCTGGCTCATATTTAAGTGATTGTCCACTAGGACTCCAAGGTCCCTCTCACAGTTACTACATTGGCTGACTGAAGATACCACTATTGTTGCATCATTCTGCTAAAAAGCAGGATCTTAGAAAATGAATAATGAGTGATTTTATACTTCAGAATTGCACCTGGTAGAATACTCTGATTGTATTTATATCTACTAAATCCCATTTGAAAACCAAAATAATTACTTTTTAGAGTATAATTAATGATACTGTCTTTTTTTGCCTTACATTATGCTGTTGCTTCTTTCAAAATTCTTCTCTATCAGATTTGAAAATTAAGATTGTCCCAAGATATGTAATTTGTGCTTTAGTTTGTCAGTAACATAGTGGAGGTTAACATATGCTGGTAATTCCTAAGACTTATAGCTATGCTGTTTGTTATAAAATGCATGACACACTTTATAAAATGAAGTCATTGGTATCCTACGGTGTATTTGAAAGAAACAACATTTTTGTACCTTAAGATGACCATTGACTATGGCACCGTTTGTTCTGCTACTCAATTTGCTGTGCAGTTCTCAAATACCCTTCTTTCCAGAGACCATTTTAATAAAGTAGAGCATGTTTATCATTTCATTTTTGACAGTGCAGAAATCATAGGTAGGGGGTTAAGAGCTGAGAAAAGCATTAACCTCATGCAGATCTCATCCTACCAATCAAAAAAAGGATGGGAGAGACAACTGTGCTCCAGTAAAGTTCCTAGGCAAATCATAACATTCTCCCTCAAACTATTTTGTACCTGCAGAGTATTTTTTATAAGCTCACAAGGGAATAATTTTCTTGAGATAAACAAATTGCCCTATGTTTTTTGTTTGATTCAAGAAGCTAGATCATGTATTGATATAAAAATAGACTTAACATTTAACCGTTGGATTGAAAGAAAATGAAAAGACTGAAAGAAAAATTCATTTCACAATCCATATGGTCAAATAATACAACCTTTGTTCCAAACCTCTTTGCTCAGATACATTTTTCAATTCTGTGTCTGAATTCTGTGGCAATCCTTTCTCAGAGTTGTCAAATGTTGTTTATTAGCAAAAAACAATAACCTCCCAAATCTTGTGAACAGAGGCCTTGTGAGTCAAACAGAGTGTTTTTTATTATTTTATCCCACTTTTATTATTTTTATAAATAACTCAAGGCAGCAAACATGTCTAATATTCCTTCTATTTTCTCCAGAAAAAATATATGCTGTGAGATGAATTGGGCTGCAAGAGAACGATTGTCCCAAAGTCACTCAGCCAGCTTTCATGACTAAAGTAAGATTAGAACTCATAATCTCCTAGTTTCTAGCCTATGCTTTAACCATTAGACCAAGCTGACTCTAAAACTTTATAGTTTAATCTGCTGGATTTGAGAACCCTGTTTTCAATTTATACTCATCTTCTGACTTTATAACAACATTGTTTAGGGTTGCTGAACAGAAGGATTATTGGTTTAGACTAATATATTTCTCTTCTTCCTAATCTTATAATTTGAATCATGGTGTGTTATAAAGCAGATAATTGGACTGGATCTAGGTTAACTAGTAGCTATTTTCTGAAATACTTCTGTGCAGGGCCAGGCCAGTTAACAACCATTCTATTTACTTTAGGACCAACTGGAGCTGATTGAGCAGAATGTTGGTTGGTTGATGGAAAAATTAAGCCTCCGTTTCCTACCTGGCTGTAGCTAGAAGTGACTGGCTGGCTGTTCTGCAGTCTTGGTCTCTCCTCTTAATACTTTCTCCAAAGTTAAAATGAAAATAAGCATGTGCACACATAACACATACACCTCCAACCAACGACTAAATATCTTGGGAGAATAATCCAACTCTATATGAAAAAAATAATTAATAATAAAAATTTCAGTCTGGAGTCAGACAACTACATGTATTAAATTAGAATTTAGAGGAAGGAAGACTCTACTCTTAAATGAAGGTATATCTATTTGGAATCTAAGCTTATTTGTAACATAAGACTAGTCCTTGTGCAAGAGGTCTAGGCCCATCTAGCCATCCGTGGCCCAACAGAGGCATCCCAAATGCTATAAATAGGGAATCAAGGTAGTCCTCCTCTTCCATTGCTTTTCCTTTGTACCTAGTGTGCAGAAGCAGACTGCCTCCATGCGAGGAATGAGTGCCTAGTCTTCAAGGCTAATAACCATGAATAGATTTGTCCTCCATGAATTTGTCTTCTGAAGCTATCTCAGCTAGCAACGATCTTCTGGAATTATATACCATGGTTGATTACACACTGAATGAAAAAAAATCCTATCAATTTTAAATTTATTAGTCAATTTCATTGGGGGAAGGGCTTCTACTAGTATTAACACTGTGCAGAAGTTGCAACTCTTACAGCTCTACAGTTTTACTCTAAAACTGAAACTTCTTTTATGTGTAAATGCAACAAAGTAATCATCCATGTTTTAAAAGTAATGTCAACCGTGAAACTGAGTAGTTGTTAAAAAGGCTTAACAGTAGAAGTATATCAATATATGTATATATAAATATATTTTAAATGTGTGCTTTATTTTTTAAACCTGTATAAATAAATACAAAATGACAAAGAGGTTTATGTTTACTAAACATTGCATTTGATTGTATGACATTACACAGTGTCTGTCACAATAGGTTGATTGAAAATTGTGTCCTTTCTGCTGTTGGTGCATAATTACAGAAGTTTGTCGGATACAATTAGTCCTGAATCTGCATCCAGCCACCCTTTTCAGAGAAACCCCTGAGTACTTACAATTGCAAAAGAGTGTTAGGGGAGCCATTAAACCACAGTGGCTGAATTCTTGAAATTTTGCAAGAAAAAAAAGAGATAATTTTGCTGTCGATATATAAAACAAATGGCAGACTTGCAAACATCCTGGTTTCTTAGAATAGTATTTCCTCCCCCAGTGGCTGAAAAACCCCACAAAATGGCCTAAAGAAATAATAATAATAATAATAATAATAATAATAATAATAATAATAATAATAATGACTCATTTCATTTTTATTACATTACTTAATCACCTGAGATTCCTTTGCTCTCCTCATGTTCACTGAAAGCTTGAGAATGTTAATAACCATTGACTTTGTGATGCACATATATTACACATGATTTTTTTCATTGCTTAAATATTCATCCATGGATCTGCCTAACATAATAAAGTCTTAGCCAGTTTTATGGTGGATTTGAGTTCAGCAGTTGTGTAGCATGGGAGTGGTTAGATTTCATTCTGGACTTTGTAGTACAAAGGTAACTTTGCCAATAACAGCTATCTTCACTACTGTACTCCAAAACTGGCTATTGTACTCCATGTTAGGTAAATCCATATCTGAAGATGAATTGCATATGGTCACCCACTAGGACAGTGTTTCCCAAACTTGACAATTTTAAGGCATGTGGACTTCAACTCCCAGAATTCCACAGCCAGCATTGCTGGCTGTGGAATTCTGGGAGTTGAAGTCCACATGCCTTAAAATTGTCAAGTTTGGGAAACACTGCACTAGGACGATGCTTTTCACAGAGCATGAGGAGGAAACTGATGATCAGCCACTAAAAGGAGCCTTTGGATCTCCAAACACCTCAACATTCTTACCCACGGAAGGTCAACTGCCAAAGTTTGAATAGTGTACTTTTCTTAATAGTTATAATTAAAAAACATTTTAGAAATAGTTTGTTTTACAGAAAAGATTCCTTGCATGCTAGGAGATAATTTGTTGAATTTCATTTGAGAAGAAAAACCCACCACCTTTCAGTTCTCTTTCCGAACCACATGAAGTAATGACTAAGCAGAGTAAGCCGTTGAAAACCACAGTAAATAAAGCAAACCTATATGTGGCTGAATATCTAAAATAGCCAATAGCCAATCTGTCTGTGTATGTGGTAATTGGGTGTGAATATAATATTGATGGTTTAAGTTTTGTAAGTCAAAGAGTTCTTCAACTCTGTTAAAGTGAGGACCATTATTCTATTTCTCCTCTTCTTTCCACATTTTTTTCTATTACAACTGACTATATGGAAGTTGAGAAGTTGAAGGGGAGCCTCATGAAAAGGATATGATATTAAAAACCAGCTCTTTCTCCATTCCAGTATATTTACATTGTATACCACAATCAATTAATATACAGTACTCTTGGGATGAAAGGAAAGAAGCAGCAGCATTGCTAAATAAGGAATTAAGCATTGCTACAATGCTGGCACACTCCAAGTCTTTAAAATATTAGTAAAAAATAGATTCTTCATCATTCTATTTACAATTGTTCTCTAATATAGCTAGTTCATGAAGGGACTATAGAGAGGCATCTCACATAAAATGTCTTAAGTGCACAGCTCAAGGGAAAAAGACCTGATATGAAAAATACTTCAACTGCCTACAGACTATTTGAATGTACACTAAATTTTATCACTTAGGAATCACTCATGTAGCTTGTAAAAGTGCCTGAAGTCATTCTAAAGCAAACTTCCCCAATCTGATGAACTCCAGATGTTGTTGATAACAGAATTGTCATCCAGTATGGCATTGGCATGCAAAACAATGCACCAGACTGGAGAAAACAGTTCAACAATCCAAGGCGGGATTTAATTAGTGAAAAGTTCTTAAATATTTAAAAAATGGGCACTCCAAGCAAACAAGAGTCACGGACTGTTTCTATGATGATTAGAGTATGTATGAGACATATGTAGGCATTTATAAATGCTAATACAGATTAGGTATCTTCCTGGCTAAGTGACTATCATTTTCGGTATCAACAAATTCTAGTGCATTTGAAGTGAAAATAGAGGAAAATACAGAATATGTATGTTAATATTGACATCCATTACAACTAAGGAACAAAGGCATCTAGGGGGATGGGGGCTTATTGGATTTTGTGTTTGGGGTTTTATTTCTGTAAGCAGCTCAGAATTGTTGGGCAACCATATAAATTTTATAAATAAATAGTGAGCAAGCAGAATTCCAGTTTGGTTGATTCTTGCCAATCTAGTTCTTAGATGTTGGAAAATTGATAAATACAAAGCACATTAAGGTGATACAAAAAAGTTAACAAGGTTTGTAACCATAAAGACAGTAATTTTGGCAAAATATGGAGCAGCCAAAGTTTAAAAATTTAAAAGTTTCTTTTGTTCTGAAGAAGAGAAGGCGACACATTTGATTTAATGGCTCAATAAATGTTATATTCAACCTTCTTTGTCATGTTTGGACTTTATTGCTGTTATTCTTCTAATTCTTCTCCCCCCAATAGATATACTTGGTTCCTACAAAAATATTTTTCCTTTGCATGTTGAAATAAAACATGCAGAAATGTCACCCATTAGATTACAATACTCATCTTATTTAGATCTTGATTGCAAAAATCTGGATGACCACAATATAGCAGCAAAGAGCATTCTGCATCTTTTTAATGAGTTCATAGGGTTCTGCAACTCAGATACTAATTTGTTAATATACAGACACAGGAAAAGCAAGAGTAGATTCTGCTTGCTGCCACCCATTTGCTAACAAAGCAAATGCCCCAAACTAATACAAGGCAAGCAGTGAATTCCTAATGTTAGCTGCTAAGAGCAGCAACAGCAGGGAGCTGTGAAGAAATGGTGCAAGCATTGAGCAACTTCTTATGTTATATTTCCTAATGGACATTACTGCTTGCTCACTTGGACAGGTAAATTAGTTGCAAACTGATTTTCTCTGGGTAGCAATTGCTGCTGCTATCATCCATAGGATCTACTGCTGCTAATATAAGCAATTATCACCCGGTTTAAATGAGGTGGAGAAGTAGACAGAGTCTTAATTGCATGGAAAATGAAAGTGGGGGCTGGGAAGCAGAAGGATCTCCCCCTACATCCCTAGCATAATGAAGTGAAGCTAAAGGTATGGAACAAATAGCCAGATTCAAAAATGGGGCAAATTACTGATCATCTAAGGCAAGTAACTGTTTCTTGATGGTTGACTTTGTTCTCAGAGTACAATAATATAATATACTTTATTATATTAGCATAATCCTATCAGTCAAGAAGTTTAGGTAGATCACTTAGATCAGACTGGACAATGTGCAACCTACCAGAAGTTTTGAACTCTACTTCCAACCTTTCAATGGCAAATGATGAGAATTACAGTTCAGGGACATATGGCGGACCATGTTTTTCTTCTCCGTAAATTAAAAATATATTTTAGAGGTGATAAAGACAACTTCTAGGAGCAAGCATAGTTATCATTCTTTAATGCCCATCCTTAAAGAAAGTACATAATATTTATGCTTTCAGTTTATCTGGCAGGTGCGTTGATATTGTATATAAACTTTTCTCAGTTTAGAGCCCTCTTGTGTTGGACTACTATATCCAACTGCCCCATCAAGAGAGCTTGAGAAAATCAAAATTTTAGTTCTTCATATCTGAAAATACATCCTTTTTTCATAATTTTGCTCCTCCTCCTTGCTTGCTTTAAGGGTTATCTGTTATTTTATTTTATTTTATTGTTCTTATAGCTTATTGACTTCACTGGTTCAAATTAACAGCTGCATGAAATGTTATTTATATAGCTTTTGTGGTTCAGCCAATAATGTAATTTACAACTTTAACCTTTAGTTTCAGCTGTATCTATCAAAATCTTCTGATCATATATCTTCCTTGTTTTGAGGCTCTTTTCCCTTATCTTTTGTTATAATGCCAATGGCTTAAAAATAGTTTAAGTCCCTAAAACTATGGAATTGAATAGAACACGGGGGAGACAGATGGTAACACAGACACTTGATTAACATAAAAACAAAAGAATTAGCTTTTATTTAATAACTAAAATGCTTTTCAAATAGATTCACTTATTTGTATAAGGTACCTATATCACCAGTTCTAATCTACCCTGACATCGAAAGTAGAAGTAACCCTCAGTCCCTGAAGCAGAGGATCCACAATGGAGTTCAGAAAAGTCAAGATGGCAGCCAACCAAAACAAAAGAATATGTTCACAGGCTATGACAATAGTCTTCCACCAGACCTATCCTTCCATCTACATATCCCAACCCTTTCCTCGCCTCTCAAGTTCTTGCCTCCTGCTGGAATAAAAACATCCTTTGTGTTGCCATGTTTTGATTGGCAGTTCTCCCCCTGCCCCCAAATTATCACCTTTTCCAACTATAGTCATCATGCAATATTGCCAGTGATTCAGCTCATGAAGATTTGCTTCATGCAAGAAACAGTTAACTGCAAGTTCTTCAAGCTATGACTGAAATTGTTAAAACATACAGTTTCTTCCATAATATTCCTATCCATAGCTTGAAAGTTCTTGGGGGGCTCCCAATTATCTGGGCTGGAGCTCTGTGAGACTCAGAGACCATATATTGATCTGAACTATGTTTTGACTGGGATTTATTGAATAAACCACATATATTGTGGGGTTTGCATAATACATTAAGCTTTACATTTGATTTAATAAATTATAATAGTTGGAAATTGGTAAGATTTTAAGTGAAAAATCAAGTAAACTGCGTTACAATTAGTGTAACGTCTGAACCCTGTTTCAGTCTGCACCCTCAAGACTTATGTCTGGAATGAGTATAATGGTAGGGGAGATTATTGAAAAATATAAGATCTTTGCCTCAATTCTTTTGTTCCTAATCAACTAGACCGATGGGAGGAGGAGTGAGTCCAGTAGCTGCGAGGATGATGTACCATGCAGATTTGGAAATGACTCTTTTGCTCTGGAGTTTGGACCTGACTCCGGTGAAATGGGACACTTTGCCACAGCTACATTGCCATGGCCACCGTGCCACTGCCAACTCACCATAGCCAACTCACTGTGGGAAAACCCGCCACAGGACAATTCAACAATTCAATTTGTTATTTATTTAATTTAACGAATATTTTAATTTTTGTCATTCACATTTCATTTTGCTCTTCCCTTTGCATCATTTGTTTAATGATTCTATTCCACATTTTTTTGATATTCTTTGAAATTTTGTCCTGCGGTGAGTTGTCCTGTAGTGAGTTAGCAATGGCAAATTGTCCTATGGTGAGTTGGCCATGGAAAGTTGGCTGTGGAGAGTTGTCTTAAACCCAACTCCAGACAGCAAAATCTCAGCATTTCTACTTAACAGCAATAGATTGGACTCTCGGTTTCATCCTACTCTGCTACTGGGAACAGGAATACATCTTTCCTTTCTAGCTGGAAGGATTAGGGCAGTTTGTGAAGCCTGCTTGGTTCTTTCTTCCATCTCCATCTTTCTAGGATTTGTTGCATGAAGCTGCTTCCTTACTTTGATCAATGATAGGACTGATTCTGACATATCCTTTTTATTTAGAAAGATATTTGATTTTTTAAAAAGTGTTTAGGAAATGAATTATTGATATCTATGTCAGAGGCCAAAAAGGTACCCTGACATCACATAATATTTATGTTTTATTCTTTTGATTGTGCAGAGAAATCAGATAGTTACATATCGGATAAAAAATCAGCTTAGCCAGATTGTAAGCTGCATCAGATTGATGCTACTGAAACCTAAGTAATGCAGCTATACCCTAACATTCTCATGTGGTATTTTTGGCAGTCACTTTTCCATATCACAGCAACAATCTGCATGACCTTCAAATGCTCATTAATAGATACATGGAGCATTTCCGTAGTAACAGATGCTTATGGTAAAGACCTATAATTTTTTAAAATTAAAATGAATATATTATGACTTTTAAGATACAGCCTACAAAATAGCTCTTGGTTTTCTCTTTTGTTATATGGAGATGTGTTTTCACAGCAAATGGTAACATTTCCAAATGTTCCAGATAAAGTAATATAGTTTTGCTAGTGTTTTCTGAGGATACCATTACTTGATTGACTGGGGCAGGGAGTCACCCTTAACAAGTGAATAAATATAGACTGTGCAGAAGTATAATCAACCCAGTGGCACTAGAAATAGTTCTGCCTTGTGGAGCTTCCCAGGATACGAATAGAATTTGGCACATATCACTGAAACATTAGCCACTTTGCAATATATTTAAACTTTTACAGGTCTTGTTTCATTTAGTAAGATTGTTGGGAATTGGAAAAAGACATCTATTTGTTTTTGCCAGAGAGCTTTTCTTCTAGTTCCACAGTTTTATGTTTTTCTGATTTCTACTGCTTACAATAAAATGCTGGGCATGTATTTCAGATATGGCTCATTTAGTGAATTTGTTCCAGTTACTTCAGTTGCTTTTCCTTCGTTTCATTCTAAGGAACATCCAAGACAGACTTGTATGAATTAACTTGCTGGACAGAGAAAAGTAGGTTCCAGAGTAAAAAAATATTGCTCTGATCAGTGCGTTATTTGGCTAAATAAATTATATTTAAGTAAACATAAAAGTTTAGGACTTCGGCTTCAGTGGGTGTAATGAAAAATGTAATAAATTTCCACATACATATAGCCCCTGACTTACAAACATAACTGAGGACAAAATTTTCATTGCTAAGCTAGGCAGTTGTTATTTGAGTTGTGCCTCATTTTATGACCTTTATTGCTGTGGTTGTTAAACAAATCATTGCAATTTTTAAGTGAATTATATGTTCCTTAAGAAAATCTAACTTTCCCCATTGTTTTTGCTTGTCAGAAACTGGCTGGGAAGGTTACAAGTGATCACATGACCCTAGGACAGTGCAACAGTCATGAGGACATGCCAATTGGCAAGTGCTCAAAATTTGATCATGTTACTACAGGGATTCTGCAACGCTTATGTGAAAACTAGTCATAAGTCATTTTTTTCAGTTCTGTTGTAACTTAGAATGGTCACTAAATGAATAGTTGTAAGTCCATAATCTAAACTCTGTGGACACATTACTGCAATGCTGTAAGAGCCTCATTTAATGGACATCTCTAACTATGAGAGCCAAATTTAAAGTACTTTTATCATTCAGTTTAGAAATAATATATAAGCAAGAACATATCTGAAAAATATAACCGAACATTTAAAAAATAATAATTTATACAAGTTTACAAATTTGTGGGCATACAGTAAGATTTTACCAGAGCCTGATATGTGGTAAGATAAGAAAAAAAACACATTATACATGAAGCTGTTATGCATTAATTTAAATTTGTTCTAAAAGAAGACAAAGCCATAGATATCATTGGATCTGAATTTATCAGTTGGGAGTAAAGAATTAAATTCCCTCAACTAGTTTATTCTCTCAAAAGCACATTTAGTTTTGGTAATTGTGAATTTCAAGAAATTTCTCAAAACAACTTATATGGCAATAACTACTGCATATTTTATAGATATTTAATGCATGTAGCAGCTTGCCAATCGATGTTGGGAGAGGAAAAATGCTGCGATGGTTTTCATATTGGGAAGAAATAAGGTTTGGCAGGAATAAAGTTGTCCTCTTTTGAAGAAAATTATTTGATAACGAAACAAAACATTGTAACTTTCTACTATAGCAGACATTTCACAGGTTAACAACAATTGAAAGAAACTCTTTTATTATAAGAATGGAATAAAAAAAAATGTTAGGATATCTATCTGAAAATGAGCAAAACAAATTCACGGTGCAGCATTTTGTTCTGGCAAATGATTCAGTGTGCTTATCCTTACTATTTGTCCAATCATTAGATTGCTGGAAAAGCCTGTGATATAGAAAAAGTTCAAATATGTTTGAATTACAAGCTTGTCAGGTTCTTGATATACCTTTTATACGTTATTTGAATGGAGTACATAAAGTATAGTGGTAACACAAAAGTTCACTCCAGTTTTTTTTGTTCTACTCCCCCCATCCCGTTCATGGCAGAGGCACTTCTGAAGGCGCTTCCAGGTTGAAAGGATTAGCCAGTGACGTCACAGTTGCCCGGGAGATGCCCTTGGGCGCTCCTTTCATGTCCCTGTCAAGGAGCTGAAGTGGATGATGGGAACTGATCCTGCCACGCAGCAGCAGTGAAAGTGCTATTGGAAAATAATCTCTAGGGACTAACCAGTTCAGTTCCTCATCTGCTACATTAACATGCCCATCTTATTATCTGCAATGGTATGGAGGATTTAGCATAAAAGGACTGTGCCAATATAAAGATAAAAATATTGTATTTTGATGATTACAGCTGCACAATTCTAATTCAACTTTGCCAGTTTTTTCAGGGCAAACAACAAGAGAAAGGAGAACTCTGGAAGGCCAAAGGTACAAGATCTGACTGACCAGTCTCACTGGGGTCATCCCTACTTAAGAAAGAACTTTGAGAAATGGAAATAATCTGCTCTGTTTCATCTGCTAAGCACAGGTCTTACCTACTATGAGTCTAATAGCATGCCCAGCACTAAAGTGACAAGTAGCTAATATCGACTGAAATTTTCTAGAATTTATGAGTTGTCACTACTATAAGCAAATTTGGTATTTTTCCATATCACAGAGGGCAATATTTTTGTTTAGCATATATCAGGGATATACCAAGTAGATACACCAAAGATGATGGGAACACATTTTATGGATCCTTCTGGCCTAGTTCATTGAAAAATTGTAAATTGTTTGATTCCGTCTTCTCTGGCACCACATCTTATACCTTTCAAGAGGGCAGGGATAATTGTTTACTAGGTTTTATTATATTAGAACAGTTCCTTTAAACATTAGCTCATGAAAGACTGCAGCATTAAGAATTCAAAACCATTTTTCTGAAGAGTTCAACTGATTTCCTTGATTTATAGTTTATAGTAGAGACTTCAGAGGCAGAAATTCTAGTTGAAGATTGTGACTTACGTTACATATTATGTATAGCAGCACATTGAGCCTCTTTTTGTATACTAATAGTGTACAGCCTGGAACAATGTCTGCTAACTTAAGACATTCTACAACATTCACATTTGTGAGACAAAATTTAGGCATCTGAGGCTTGTTTCATGGATTTGATAGGCTTTGTTAAATATATTCCTTTCCCAACCTGTCATTAGATCTCCTAACATATAAGAGAATGCTATCAAATCTAGCATAGGAAAGCAGAGTTTCCAATAATAATAATAATAATAATAATAATAATAATAATAATAATAATAATAATAATAATAATAATAATATCATCTACTGAATATTAATAAACCCTACTGAAAAAATGATGTTATAACAGATAATTGAATGTGTTTATATGTATTACTAATTTTGTTTTTTTCTTTAAAAATGCTAGAAAATTATGTTATATTAAAATATATAGGGGATTAATTCCACTTTAAAATATTTATTAATTCAGAAAAGAAGGCAACTGCGAAAAGACTGTAGATTAACAGTGATAGCTCTATTTAGCCTTGCGTAAATTTGAATTTCTTGGCCATTGTTGGTTTGCCTTTGTTTAACAGCTTGCATATATGGTTCTATTCAGAAAAAGAAAAAGAAGAAAGAAAAAAAGAAGCAAGAGAAATAAAAGTTAGATGTAATGGCTAAGATCCACAATAGCTGACTCATGGAACTGAGTTATTGCTGTACTGAAAGTTTTATATAGCCTCTGTGTCCAAATGTACACTTACTGCTTCTTCAGCCTTGACAGTTGACCTTTCAATGTGTGGGCACACTGCCCCAGGGGCAGCAGCATTGGCAGGGCAGACACGGCAGTATGCTATTTAGTAACCCATCTCTACTGTCTTTATCTCAGATAGCAACCCAAGTTGACACTCATTGTATTGGGTGAATGTAAATGTCACTGTACTTTTTATATGAAGGCCAATCCACAAACTTTCACATTTCCCCCTTCACATGCTGCTCTGGATGCTCCTGGTTTTAATTTGAAAACAGCCATCCAAATCCCATTGTTATAATCAATATGATTTTCTTGTCTTGGCAATATTTAGGGGTGGTGGTTATTCTTTTTTTTTTTTTTAAAAAAGGGCAAAACAAACCAATTAGTCAGACTGTTGTAATTTGGTCAACCACCCGAGTACTATCCATATCTACCATTTCAACACATTCTATTTCCTCCCGATTCTCAGGAGTTTTCTTCTCTTTCCTTTTTTTCTTTGACGGTGGCAGAAAAGTTAGTATCACAGGTAAAATGGCAAAGCAATGAAAGAATGTGACTAATGCTATCAAAAACAAGCACCTGAACAGTGTACGGGTCAGATTTGAAGGCACAGCTGCGAGAGGAATCAGACCAACAATGTAGCAGAGGTAGCTCTGTAAAATCGCTACCCCATGCACTTCCAGGGCATTCTTTACCCATTTAGTTCTTGTGAAATCTTTGCCCAGGACAAATGTTGACAAGAGAGGTGCACAGTTGTCAACTGTATAATTAATTCCATAAATTAAGCACAACACAGAAATACAGTCCAGCTCAACTTTCCACAGGGTCATAAAACCTATAACTCCAAATTCGACTGAGGCAACGGTGAGTGTGAGCCATACATTGATGAGAGAATCTGCCACCAGGAATGCAGAGAAGAAGAGCAGGAATAAAGCACTAATACAGGAGTTCTGCAAGGGGGCCCCCACATACGAGGCATAACGATCCATGTAGACAAAGGATGGGTTGAAAACAATAAACTTCACCTTAGATTTGAGAGAGAGCTTTCGTAAGGTTTCCAGGAGGTGATACAGTTCTTTTCGTTTGGTATCCATGGTCTTAGCTACCAAGAACATTCGAGAGGCCACCACTTCAACTTCATTATTGTATTTTTTGGAGAAAATGATATCCTCTGAAAAATGGGCAAACTGGGGAGCTTTCAGAAAGGAGTTCCTCAGCATATCGGTAAAATTCTTCTTAGATAATCCAGTTGATATGTTGAGCTTTCTCAGATAATTCAAATAGCTCTCAAACCAAGATATCCTTACAAACCCCTTGGTATACTCTAGCATGTCATCTTGAACGGTCACATTCCAATATTCTATTGATTCATAAATATAAAACCCAATGACAGGACTATAATTGCTGAAGTACTTCTGCTGAGCAGTAGTGTACTCCATGGTTCGTGTTGCAGTTGCTACAATGTTACTGAGGTCTGACTCTTCGCTGACCTGCAAGTAGCCCATTAAGGCAAAGGAAATATAAATAAGGTAAAAGAGAACTACAAAAGGCTTGACATATGTGTTTGTTATCCAGTCACAGTAATAACGCTTGAGGAAACACACCAAAAGGTGGCTTTCATAACTGTTTGTTTCCTCTGACTCTGCTGTATCCTCGCTAAATTTGGCTGTCAGAAGAAACCTATACCAAGCAGGCTTCTCTTGCAATACCTCTGGTTTTGGTACCTTTCGGCAGAAGATACTATGCTGGTAGTTGTTTTCTATGTAGCCAGTAAACACGAGGCTGGAACCATAAAAGGAGAGTACATAGAGGTAGTTGAAAAAAATTGCAATACAAGAATTGCAGCAGAAGATCCTGGCTGCTTCAATGTTGGTGAAAGGGCTGGCACCAATCCCAAAAGTCACCAGATACATGGCAGTGGTGAGAGAAAAGGAGAGCATGGAGTCTGCGAACACAGCTGCAGTTCTCTCTTTTACATGTTGGTCTTCTCTGGTTTTCCTCCAGGAGGACAACATTTCAAAAGTTCCATATAATCCGTGCCCTAGAATGAAGAAAAGAGCAACTGTAATGCCGTTATACAATTAGAAAATCAGGTGGCTCCTGCAAAGGAGGATATAGCTAATTGTGCATTGCATGGGTAATTTAGGAAGAAATTGTCCTGGTGTAGGCAAATGTTCATATACACTGACATGAAAGTTATTTTAAAAGATGGAATTACAGTAATTGCTGCTGGTAGGAATCTGTGCCAGGAAATTTGTAGCCAAGAAGAATTATGCAAACAAGTTCAGTTATGCAGTTAAAGCTAAATTATGCATTTTTGATGCCATGGTTTTACTTTGTGAAAAGTAACCAAAGTTAAAGAAACTTCAGTAATATTTTTATTGATATTGCAGTTAAACAGAAAACTTAAACATGAAGTCTATGTTATGTGGGATATAATTAAGATTAATTTGAGCCATGGCACAAATATTTTTTTATTTGTTTTCTTTGATAAACATGCTCAGAAAAAGCCTTGCGGATGCTATCAAAATGTACACGTGGGTCTTTCCACACAATGCAAATGCTTGTTTTTAAAGCAAGAGCATCTTTTTGCCTTAATGTTTGAAAATGGATATGGTGTCATGTGATTTAGGTAACTATGATATCCTGATATTTATTTTCAAAAATAGATTAAGGTGCTTGATTCAGTCACAATGCTGTGTTAAACACAAAGGCTAGAATTGTTCCTAAAAGTCACAAAGGTAGGTTAGATTGATTATGCAGTGAATTCATAATTCTGTGCAAAATTCTATATGCATAGCCCAGACAATAATCTAGATGATAGACATGAATGAATCGAAATATTATTATAGTTTTGTCACGAATAAAGCTATGGAACAAATATATTGTATATTGATCACTATATTTAAACTTTTAAGGTATAGAAAATTTTAGGTAACTAGACTAGTTACACGTATATCAGTTTGATTCTATAAGTAACTAATCAGTACTAAAACCAATTCGTTTTTATGGCTGAATTCAGTGGGATTAGTGGTGTCATGGCTGATTCTCCACTCAGCCGGCTTGCAGTCAGACAACAGAAACAGGGAGGAAGGAGGGAAAGAATTGGAATGCAAGGGAGGCTTGAGAGGGAACTGAGGAATTCAAGTGAGCCAATGCTTCCCCAGATGGTCTTAACACACCAAGGTCAAACGCTGGGAAAACTCTGAGCTGCTCCAAATGCTCCCAAAACAAAACGAATACAATTGACTGGTGAACAGTGAACCATGGGGAGATCCAGGGGAAAAAGGGGATTTTACCTAGGCTGGTTTTCACACGAAAACTTTAGAACTGGCTTTTCTACTCATGTGCCTATGTGAAATTATCAGTAAAGTTATACTCTTGGTAAAATAATGTCCCGGGAGTTTCTTTTGCTGCATTTATCAAGGGGACGGTTGACATGTGGTGATGGGAATCCAGTCTAAATAATTGATTTAGCATCATAGCAAAAATTAGAATTTTATTTCCCTATAAAATTTTGGCTATTAAGGATACCCAATATACAGTTATTTTAACAATGGAAGATATACACCTATGTACCATATGTGCAGCACTGGCTTTGAAATGGAGCTGAGCACCACCCCCTATAGTCGGGTATGAGCCTGGTCATTTCCTACACATGCCCTTTTTATGAAGCACTACTTCTGCAGCATATTTGTCATCTTTGTAAATCAGCTTTCAGCGTCCCAGTGTCCTCCAAAACGACCACTATTCTATTTACCTAGATAATTATATTGCGCTTTGAATAGGATAGAGGATCGGTATAAGCCTCCACTTTTTCTCAGACATCAAATGATTTTTGCCTCAGAAACAGTTGGACAGACTGTTGCCTCAGACAGACTATTGCTGAGAAATCTGGGTTTTAATGTCAACAAATTTCAAATCTGGGACAAGAAAGGTCAATGGCGAAGCCAATTCACTTAACAACCGTGTTACTAGCTTAACAACAACAACAACAACAACAACATAACAAGTGATTCATTTAACAACTATGGCAAGAAATGTCATAAAATAGGACAAAATTCACTTAGAAACTTTCTTACTTAGCAATGGAAATTTTGGGCTCAGTTGTGGTTGTAAGTTGAGGACTACCTGTACTTGTAGCTTACCTTCACTGATACAGGTCTGTGCATCAGGGGAACTCTGTTGATTATATTGTAACCCACAGACTGTCACACAGGGCAAGTGTCCGGTCTGCAGTGTTCTCCTCTCTAATACTCAGCATCTCTTCACCCACTTTTTTCTGATTGAGTCTTGGACTGTGTTTGTTTAGTTTGAGGGAATATTTATAAAAGATTATGTTGAATGTTTTTCATTTATATAATTTTATGTAATTGCACTGCTTTCTGTTTTGATATTTGCATTTAGCACTGAACTTTGCAGTATTTTTTCTTGATATAGGCAGTACAGAAGTTTGAGTAAATGAATCAAAATGTTACAAATTGGATCAAATGCTTATATATTCATTGCAAAATAAATCCTACCCGGAACAGACAGAGAACACCCTGCTTCAAAGGTTTAATCAATATACTTTGTTTTCATGCAGTGCAATCCTATAAGTATTTATTTAAATTACTGTTATATCATACCACCAAAAACCAATCTTTGAAAGCTAAACTTATTCAGAAAATTTCTTTTGGGCTGTTGCCCATTTAAACACACATTTCTGCATTTGCTTTGCTTAAGTTTCAGAATGTTATCTCTGCAATCATGACGGGCTAAAAGTTTCCTCTAAAAATGACCAAGAGAGATTATTGCAGGGATTCTGATCAATACTTCCTGCAAGCCATTTCTCTTGTCCTAACATTGTTATACTTACTATTTTTGCCAAGTTTTTAGTCCTGAACCGATTAATCACAGCCTCCTAATTAATGGCACTCTGGTACAGATAGCCTGTTTTAGATGCTTGGGTACTTAAAGCCATTCCTGTGGTAAACAAGAATCAGTACAGAGGTTCTGCTTTGATGACATTTATTGCAGTTAAAAGGACAACATTACAGTATTCATGCATTCTTGGAATGGGCAACTGAAAATAAGATTGAACACTGTTGCCATTAATGTTGGGGTTTGTGTGCTACTATAATGAATTCAAGATTAATGCCTGAAGAAAGTGGGCTTTCTCAGATCGATCTGTTTTCATAGAATTAATCTGGAACCATGGCAAAAGGTTACGCATATCTTTCTGGGTTCATGCTGAATGCCCATTCTTCCTGGGATGCCATCTAGGACACACACTGATAAGTTAGTTGGCTTCTGACTGATACGTTCAGTTTATTTCTAGAGGGCTTGACTGAGCTAATGAGATGCAAGTACTGAGTCTGCCAATATTATAAGCCTTTAGGTAAAAACACTTCTAAACAGAATACCAATTCCATATTAAAAGGTAGGATACTTTAATTTTGTCTTCCCTCATGTGCTACTTTAAAAATAAATTAAAAAGCCATTTATGTAAAGAACACCACAAATGTCAATTCCCAAATATTGTATCTATAAATTTTTTATAATAGTTTACCTGTAACAGGTATTTTAGTGGCACTGAAAAAAGTGACTTATGACCGTTTTTCACATTCATAATCGCTGCAGCATCACCATGGTCACGTGATCCAAAATTTGGACGCTTGGCAACTGGTTCATATTTATGACAGTTGCAGTGTCCAAGGTCATGTGACTACCTTTTGTAATCTTTTGACAAGCAAAGTCAATGGGGAAGCTAAATTCATTTAACAACCGTGTTACCAACTTAACCACTGCAGTAGTTCACTTAACAACTGTGGCAAGAAAGGTCATAAAGTGGGCAAAACTCACTTAAAAACTTGTTTAGCAATAGAAATTTGCAGTTGTAAGTTGAGGACTATACATCCTTTCCTTTCTAAACCATTTTCCCACAAAATTTGCTTTTTTAACTATTAGGCTAGGCTGTTCTAGATTTCTGGAAGCTGCAATCAAACATCTGTGGAGAGAAGCAGGCTGGAAAGCTTGCTTTAAGCCATACCATTTCACATTTACATTTTATTTCATAACCTATCATCAAACTGTGGTAAGATCTTTAGGGGGGCAAGCAAATTTGGTTGCTTATGCTTAAATTCTTAGTTTTTAATTTCCTTCCAGTTATTGCACAGATTTCTGTAAATTAAACAAACAATCAACAAGCCAAAATCCAAACCTTCACATGAAGTTACTCATAAATCATATTTATCCATAAGGCAAATAGGACTAATATTTTTAAAAAATGTCAAAGTATTGTGTAGTTTTTCATAGGAGATCCATTATATTAAATGTCTCTTCTGCAGCAATAAACTATAATATGTACTATCATATTAATCCATGTGCAATTGGGTTGGTAGAAGCCAGTGCTTTTTTTCTTAAAAAAAAAAAAAAGGGTGCCGGAACTCACACACATCATACAACCCACCTTGCCTACCCTAGAAGGTTCCATCCCACAAAGGTGCTGGAACTCCGTTCTGGGCATTCTATGAGAAAAAAAGCCCTGGTAGAAGCAGAATTCCCTTGCCGTGTTTACTATGAAAGCCTTTTGGCTATATAAGGTAGGTCTTGGCTTTGGATATGGGTGGACAGTGGAGGGAGAAAGAATATCCAAATAATTGATTGGGGACACCTTGCTCAAGTTTAAATTCCTGACATTAAATATCGATAACTCTTTGTAGATTTAAGTTTAATCATTAATACATGGCTTTGCAATATTATTAGAACTTAAGCAGCTGAATTGCCTGCAGCTTTGACGAGAAATAGATACCTTTTTTGTTCCTAGGTTATATACATTTTTAAAAATGCTTTGAAGGGAAATGGCAATGATTTGGTGATTGCACAGAGAAGCAGAAGCTTCCATCCGCACACAAATTTTTGGTTTTATTTGATTTTTTTTACAAAGGAAAATAGGTGCATTGGAGGCTGAAAAAAAATGTTCACTAATTATCTGAAATGTAAATCCTTGTAAAAATCTGCCCACATCCTTGGGCTTCTTCAATTCTTTCAATTTCAACT